TTAGCCCACTGGGCTAACGCCACCTCTCCCCTTCGGTCCCAAATCTAGTAGACAAAAGCATGGTGTTTCAACTTTTACCAAAGAGCTTTGTTAATAAATCCACTAGTGTTAATATCCGATTCCTAAGAGTCTGAGAGCTCAGATGGAGTCATTCCACAGCGGAAAGTGGGCAGTCTATGGATTACAAAAGGCACTTTTAAAATTTTTTGCGGCAAAGTACATTTTTTGGAAAGTTCCAGTGCCAAGACTGTTGTAAGAGCCAGATTAGCTGGTTTTATTATTCCAGTATTTAGTTTTCCATCATGCTTAAAAATACCATATTTGAATAATGTAAAACTTACAAATATTGGGCCAGATCCGCAGCTGGCAAAGATCAGCATAACTTTACTGAAATACATGGAACTACACCAATCTATGCCAGTTGAGGATCTGCCCCATTATGTATTAGAAAATTAGTTCAATAAGTAATAATGAAATGTATTTATAGAATTAAGATTTGTATGAAGTTGGTTTTGATGAGGTTTTCCTTTTACACTATCAAAAGTAACTCTTCTTTTTGTTTTGCTTTCCCTATGACCAATGTTTGCACTGACAGATATTTGTCATTCATAAAATTAAAAAAGTGAATCAACTGAGCACAACTATTCTCGTCTACGTTCATCATGATTTTGTTTGGCTCCCACCTGCCACAGATATTAATTTTGTTCAAATACCAGGGAAAAAGAATGGCAAAACAAAGTTCCTAAAGTGAAAGGGACAGCGCTATTCAGGTAAAGAATAAAAAAATCTAGCTGATCATATACGGAGCCAATTTCCTTTGTTGCTAGTTCAAATTTACCCACAAAAATTAGAGGCAAACATAAATTAGTAAGTAAGTGCTTTTTCAGGGAGAATACACAAAATGTGCAATGTTAGCTATGCAAGAAAGTTTAACACTAGACATAGCTTTCTCTTGAAATAGTTCACACAGCAGTTAAATTAAATCATTGCACAACTTATTGAAACATTTCCCACAATTGCTGTTCATCCCTTCTTTAAGATCCAGAAGTTATATAATAGAGAAAATTTAACTACTACAGAGGAGTGACTTATGATTTCCACCTTTTAATTTTTTTTTTTTTTTTTAAAATGACTACCATTATGAAAAGAATGGGAATATTTTGCTTCTGGCCAAAATTTCCACTCATCCTTCCAAAAAAAAAAAAAAGTTGGATCAATGGTTGACTTATTTATTGATTTTTAATTAGGGCTGAGAAGAGATTGGGACACTGTCAGATCATTTAATTTATTATTAGAGTTAAACAATAAAAAATGTTCACATAAAAAGTGATGTTTTCCATCAGTTAATTAAACCTACAATAACTTAATGATGACCACCTTGCAACATTAAATACCCTTCTACAAGTAACAAATTAATTCAGCCAGCCAATAAATCAAAGCATCAGGAAAGCTACTTTCACATATACCCAGGAACACACCATTAACTTTTCCCTCAAACCTTGTCAAATAAATAGCTTTAGCAGGAGATCATCAGTTTGGGCTATTTCTGAACAAAATTTTTAAAAAAGGAGAATCCAGCTTGACAAGAGAGTAGAGAAAACACTTTCTGTCTTAAAAACAATTTAAGCTATTAAAAGAAAGTATTTTTAAATTGACAGGTTTCAGAGGAACAGCCGTGTTAGTCTGTATTCGCAAAAAGAAAAGGAGTACTTGTGGCACCTTAGAGACTAACCAATTTATTTGAGCATGAGCTTTCGTGAGCTACAGCTCACTTCATCAGATGTATACCGTGGAAACTGCAGCAGACTTTATATACACACAGAGAATATGAAACAATACCTCCTCCCACCCCACTGTCCTGCTGGTAATAGCTTATCTAAAGTGATCAACAGGTGGGCCATTTCCAGCACAAATCCAGGTTTTCTCACCCTCCACCCCCCCACACAAATTCACTCTCCTGCTGGTGCTAGCCCATCCAAAGTGACAACTCTTTACATAATCAAGTCGGGCTATTTCCTGCATAGATCCAGGTTTTCTCACATCCCCCCACCCCCATACACACACAAACTCACCAGCAGGAGAGTGAATTTGTGTGGGGGGGTGGAGGGTGAGAAAACCTGGATTTGTGCTGGAAATGGCCCACCTGTTGATCACTTTAGATAAGCTATTACCAGCAGGACAGTGGGGTGGGAGGAGGTATTGTTTCATATTCTCTGTGTGTATATAAAGTCTGCTGCAGTTTCCACGGTATACATCTGATGAAGTGAGCTGTAGCTCACGAAAGCTCATGCTCAAATAAATTGGTTAGTCTCTAAGGTGCCACAAGTACTCCTTTTATTTTTAAATTCTAATTCACTTTTTCACAATAAGTGCTGACTGTTTACTTTTGCCAAATTGTTGCTCATTTTTGGAAGGTGCAGAACCAATGGGGTTACACCTGGCCCACAGCGTGACAGCATCCTGGCAGAGGAGCTAACCAAGCACTTTCTTGCTCGTTTATCCAGTGCACTTTGAACATGTGGTCATCAATAGCTGTATCATGGAGTTCTAAAGAACAGGCAGGAACACCATGCAGGGCAGCAAGATGGCCAAGAGCTCCAGGATGTTCATATGTAGCATTAAATAGTCCTGGGACCAGATAACTTGCCTCTGCAGGTGGTTCAGGTGCCCAAGATGCATGATGAGCATCACTGTGGGGGAGCAGGCCAAGAAGGGCCCCCTTTCATATATTCTCCAGGTCCAGCCACCAAGCGAGTTCTCATAGGACCAGGACACTCTCTCGTTCATGTGCTATCTAGAGGGGAAGTACATCACCTCAGCCAAAGTTGTAAGGGTGACATCTGGCAGGCAGCAACACGTACATAAGTGCCGACATATGGCCTAGTAGCCCCAGACATGTATGAACCATTGTTGACAGATTCGATTTTTAGGTCCTTTGCAGCTGACTGGAGAGATCCGTGGTAGGTAAGCTCTCACTGATCAAGAGTTAATCATGGCTCCTATGAACTCTATCACCTGCAATGGTGTAAGAGACAGTTTCTCATACCTCACAATGAGTCCTAGTTGGGAGAACAGGAAAAGGACGCACCCCAGGGCTGCCGCAATCTCCTCCTGGGACCTGCCTTTATCAGCCAGTTATCCAAGTATGAGTAGATGTGAATTCCCTTTCTTCCTTAAATGCACAGATTACATTTGGTGAACATTCTTAGTGCCATGGAGACTCCAAAGGCAAATACGCTGTATTGGTAATGTTTGGGTCCCACTGTGAATCTTAGGTTCTTCCTGTGAGCCGACAGATTGCTATATGGAAAGAAGCATCCTGCAAGTCAAGAGCCATCAATCAAGTCTTGAGCTTGAAGAAATGGAACGATGTAGGCAAACATTAACATCTTGAACCTGAGATGATTGTTGAGTCTTCACAGGTCTAGGATAGGAGGAAGGCCCCCTTTCTTTTTCAGGAAATACTGGAAATAGAAGTCTCTTCCCCTGAATTCCATTTGTACTTGTTCTGCGGCTCCTAGACAAAGCCATTCTGCCTATAATGGATTCTCTTGAGAATGGTGACGGACAGGGAAGATGGGCTGACATGGGGTGAAGAGTGCAACTAGATAGGGAGCCATGGATGATGATCTCTAGCACCTATCTGTCCAATGTTATGGTCTATACAATGGAATGGGGCAAGGTGGCTTCTGGTCTGCATCTGATGTGGCTCCCAACAGTCCCATTACACTTGCCGACCTGCTGTAGGAGCAGGGTGCATTGTCACTGGCAGTTGCAGAGAGTCAGAGGAGTAAGTTTTTCTCCAGATCCTTGTCCTTAGGTATACTCTTGTTTGACTTGATTTTTCCTGAATGGCTAAAACAACTGAAGAACCTGGGTTGGGAGGGGTACAGAAGTACTTAAAAAAACAAATTCTACCATTAAAAAAAATAAAACCGGACAAAGAAAAATGGACAAGCATATTTACAAGTTTGAAATTTTATACAGAAACGTTGGTTTATACTAATAAAAAAGTTTTTCTTGTTTTCAAACTTTTTTTTTGTTAAATTAATTATTAAAGAGTCTTTCACAGGAAGCCATAAAAAGAAACAATGAGCAAAAAGCAATTAAACCACTAGTGAGTGCAAGGAAAATATAAGAGAATACTAAAAATAAATCTGATATAGTTGTGAGGGTGGTAAGGAAGGAAAGATCAGTAAAATGTCCACATCTTTAAATAAAAGTAGATATAAAAAAATTCACAAGAAAGGGAAGTAGGAATGAGCTGCTCTTAGGTAGACATTATGGAACAAAGGACACAATTGGAATACTAACACAGAAGGTTATAAGAACCTGTCAAAAGCAGGAGATATGAGAGAAGATCAGCTGCTGCCTAATGTTATTTAAACAAAGTTTAAGGAGGGTGGAAAGAACCAGCAGAAATGAAAGGGCTTGATACCTCCAGAAGGTGCAGGGGGGTGCAATTTGTACCCATGCACTTGCTGCGGCAACTGCATATGAGTGGAGATGGATTCATCCTCTGGAGTAATCAGGTGATAGCACTTCCACCACTGTCCCTCACAGGAGGGCAGGATTAAACTCCAGACAGGACTCCTAGTGAGCCTTGCTGATGGAGACTGGCCGCAGGACAGAACAAATTACCCCATCTCACAGGTGCCTATGATTATTCTGCACACTTTGCCACTCCATTCTATGTGGGCTTTCCCACACACACAGCTCACAATCAGTGGAAACCAGGTACTGAATCTGGACAATGTTTTTTATCTGATTATACAAGAAGCAAGGAATAGAGATGGGGAAATCATATATGTACTGAATCAAGATATAAGAGAAAAACTACTCCTGAGCAAATATCAAAAAATGTCAAAACTACAGGCACTAATAATTATACAGGGGCTTTATCCCCAGAAATATTTGTTAAGAGAAGTAGCCCAGAAAAGCACTTAAAAAAAAAGCTGATGTAGGAGAAGCAAACACTATTTTAGAACGGGTATACATACCTCAATAGGGAGGAAATGGTTGACAAATTACAAGTGATTGCAAATGATTGTGAACTGATTAAACTTCTCTAAATTGTGGATGAGCTCATAGGGACAGCAATGAATGGACATTTCATTTCAATATTGGAAGCTCTGGGAACGAAGTTAGTTGCTTCAGTCTCCTGTGTAGGCGTGATATGGGGCTAGGAAGCACATCATGTCTAGAAGGTCACACAATGGGATGTGATAAAAGCACAGCAGACATAGGTCCCTCTAAAAAAGAAATTCAGGAGAAGTGAAAAAGAACGTTACAGAAAACACAGGTTAGTCAGTCAGTCTAACCTCAACACAGGACCAAATTATAAGGCAACCTAAAAGTTTCTTGTAAAGTAGTTAAAAGCAAACCACAATGGAGAGCAAGAGACTATAGAAATCAAACCTGAATTTCATGTTGCGTTGCTCTAGAATGACAGAAGCAGCCCCAGATTTGCAACTATTTTTTAAAATATAAAAAAACATCCACAATAACCATCTCTTGGGGTAAAAGGATAGTTTATCCTCTATGCTCTTTCAATTGCTGTTCTAAGTCTGACTGCCAGTAACATATCCGTGGCAACAGTAGGGTGGTGGTTTATGTGATGTAGACACTTACTTAAAAGGAGCTAGTCTGAGACAATTTATTTCTTACAGCCTCTGAGCAACTATTAGACTATCTTGGGTTGGTTTAAAACTTGCAGCCTGGTGGTGAAAATTTCTATATCCCATTATCAGTCACCTGAACTATCCACAAATCAGCTGTCAAGAATTATAACATTCATAAACCAGTCGGAGAACACTTCAATCTCTCTGGTCACGCAATCACAGACATGAAGGTCGCTATCTTACAACAAAAGAACTTCAAATCCAGACTCCAGTGAGAAACTGCTGAATTGGAATTCATTTGCAAATTGGATACTATTAATTTAGGCTTAAATAGAGACTGGGAGTGGCTAAGTCATTATGCAAGGTAGCCTATTTCCCCTTGTTTTTTCCTACCCCCCCCCCCCCCAGACGTTCTGGTTAAACTTGGATTTAAACTTGGAGAGTGGTCAGTTTGGATGAGCTATTACCAGCAGGAGAGTGAGTTTGTGTGTGTGTTCCGGGGGGTGGGGGTGGGGTGAGAAAGCCTGGATTTGTGCTGGAAATGGCCCACCTTGATTACCATGCACATTGTAGGGAGATTGGTCACTTTGGATAAGCTATTACCAGCAGGAGAGTGAGTTTGTGTATGTGGTTTTTGGAGGGGAGTGAGGGGGTGAGAGAACCTGGATTTGTGCAGGAAATGGCCCACCTTGATTATCATACACATTGTGAAGAGAGTGGTCACTTTGGATGGGCTATTACCAGCAGGAGAGTGAGTTTGTGTGTGTGTGTGGGGGGGGGGGGAGAGGGTGAGAAAACCTGGATTTGTGCTGGAAATGGCCCAACTTGATGATCACTTTAGATAAGCTATTACCAGCAGGAGAGTGAGTTTGTGTGTGTATGGGGGTGGGGGGTGAGAAAACCTGGATTTGTGCTGGAAATGGCCCACCTTGATTATCATGCACATTGTAGGGAGAGTGGTCACTTTGGATAAGCTATTACCAGCAGGAGAGTGAGTTTGTGTATGTGGTTTTTGGAGGGGGGTGAGGGGGTGAGAGAACCTGGATTTGTGCAGGAAATGGCCCACCTTGATTATCATACACATTGTGAAGAGAGTGGTCACTTTGGATGGGCTATTACCAGCAGGAGAGTGAGTTTGTTTGTGGGGGGGCGGAGGGTGAGAAAACCTGGATTTGTGCTGGAAATGGCCCAACTTGATGATCACTTTAGATAAGCTATTACCAGCAGGAGAGTGAGTTTGTGTGTGTATGGGGGTGGGAGGGTGAGAAAACCTGGATTTGTGCTGGAAATGGCCCACCTTGATTATCATGCACATTGTAGGGAGATTTCAGAGGAACAGCCGTGTTAGTCTGTATTCGCAAAAAGAAAAGGAGTACTTGTGGCACCTTAGAGACTAACCAATTTATTTGAGCATGAGCTTTCGTGAGCTACATCTGATGAAGTGAGCTGTAGCTCACGAAAGCTCATGCTCAAATAAATTGGTTAGTCTCTAAGGTGCCACAAGTACTCCTTTTCTTATTGTAGGGAGAGTTGTCACTTTGGATAAGCTATTACCAGCAGGAGAGTGAGTTTGCTCTACAGCAAACAGGGAAAGATTAAGAATGAGCTCTCAAAAATGGATACTCTCATAAAAAACCAACCTTCCACACAAACTTCCTCGTGGCTGGATTTTACTAAAACTAGACAAGCCATTTACAACGCACACTTTGCTTCTCTACAAAAGAAAAAGGACACTAAACTTTCTAAACTACTACATGCTACAAGGGGCCACAGCAATGGTTCCCTCAACCCACCTAGCAATATTGTTAACCTATCCAACTATACTCTCAGCCCAGCAGAAGCAGCTGTTCTATCTCGGGGCCTCTCCTTCTGCCCCTCCACCCCCACGAACATGATACAGTTCTGTGGTGACCTAGAATCCTATTTTCGACGTCTCCGACTCAAGGAATATTTCCAAAATACCTCTGAACAACATACTAATCCACAGAGGTCTCCCTACCAACACTACAGAAAGAGGGATTCTAGATGGACTCCTCCTGAAGGTCGAAACAGCAGACTGGACTTCTACATAGAGTGCTTCCGCCGACGTGCACGGGCTGAAATTGTGGAAAAGCAGCATCACTTGCCCCATAACCTCAGCCATGCGGAACGCAATGCCATCCACAGCCTCAGAAACAACTCTGACATCATAATCAAAAAGGCTGACAAAGGAGGTGCTGTTGTCATCATGAATAGGTCGGAATATGAACAAGAGGCTGCTCGGCAGCTCTCCAACACGAGTTTCTACAAGCCATTACCCTATGATCCCACTGAGAGTTACCAAAAGCAACTACAGCATTTGCTCAAGAAACTTCCTGAAAAAGCACAAGATCAAATCCGCACAGACACACCCCTGGAACCCCGACCTGGGATATTCTATCTTCTACCCAAGATCCATAAACCTGGAAATCCTGGGCGCCCCATCATCTCAGGCATTGGCACCCTGACAGCAGGACTGTCTGGCTATGTAGACTCCCTCCTCAGGCCCTACGCTACCAGCACTCCCAGCTACCTTCGAGACACCACTGACTTCCTGAGGAAACTTCAATCCATCGGTGATCTTCCTGATAACACCATCCTGGCTACTATGGATGTAGAAGCCCTCTACACCAACATTCCACACAAAGATGGACTACAAGCCGTCAAGAACACTATCCCCGATAATGTCACGGCTAACCTGGTGGCTGAACTTTGTGACTTTGTCCTTACCCATAACTATTTCACATTTGGGGACAATGTATACCTTCAGATCAGCGGCACTGCTATGGGTACCCGCATGGCCCCACAGTATGCCAACATTTTTATGGCTGATTTAGAACAACGCTTCCTCAGCTCTCGTCCCCTAAAGCCCCTACTCTACTTGCGCTATATTGATGACATCTTCATCATCTGGACCCATGGAAAAGAAGCCCTTGAGGAATTCCACCATGATTTCAACAATTTCCATCCCACCACCAACCTCAGCCTGGTCCAGTCCACACAAGAGATCCACTTCCTGGACACTACAGTGCTAATAAACAATGGTCACATAAACACCACCCTATACCGGAAACCTACTGACCGCTATTCCTACCTGCATGCCTCCAGCTTTCACCCTGACCACACCACACGATCCATCGTCTACAGCCAAGCTCTGCGATACAACCGCATTTGCTCCAACCCCTCAGACAGAGACAAACACCTACAAGATCTCTGTCAAGCTTTCTTACAACTACAATACCCACCTGCAGAAGTAAAGAAACAGATTGATAGAGCCAGAAGAGTTCCCAGAAGTTACCTACTACAGGACAGGCCTAACAAAGAAAATAACAGAACGCCACTAGCCGTCACCTTCAGCCCCCAACTAAAACCCCTCCAACGCATTATTAAGGATCTACAACCTATCCTGAAGGATGACCCAACACTCTCACAAGTCTTGGGAGACAGGCCAGTCCTTGCCTACAGACAGCCCCGCAACCTGAAGCAAATACTCACCAACAACCACATACCACACAACAGAACCACTAACCCAGGAACTTATCCTTGCAACAAAGCCCGTTGCCAATTGTGCCCACATATCTATTCAGGGGACACCATCACAGGGCCTAATAACATCAGCCACACTATCAGAGGCTCGTTCACCTGCACATCCACCAATGTGATATATGCCATCATGTGCCAGCAATGCCCCTCTGCCATGTACATAAAAGAATAAATGGACACAAATCAGATGTCAAGAATTATCACATTCATAAACCAGTCGGAGAACACTTCAATCTCTCTGGTCAATCACAGACATGAAGGTCGCTATCTTAAAACAAAAAAACTTCAAATCCAGACTCCAGCGAGAAACTGCTGAATTGGAATTCATTTGCAAATTGGATACTATTAATTTAGGCTTAAATAGAGACTGGGAGTGGCTAAGTCATTATGCAAGGTAGCCTGTTTCCTCTTGTTTTTTCCTACCCCCCCCCCCCAAATGTTCTGGTTTAACTTGGATTTAAACTTGGAGAGTGGTCAGTTTGGATGAGCTATTACCAGCAGGACAGTGAGTTTGTGTGTGTATGGGGGTGGGGGGGATGTGAGAAAACCTGGATTTGTGCAGGAAATAGCCCGACTTGATTATGTAAAGAGTTGTCACTTTGGATGGGCTAGCACCAGCAGGAGAGTGAATTTGTGTGGGGGGGTGGAGGGTGAGAAAACCTGGATTTGTGCTGGAAATGGCCCACCTGATGATCACTTTAGATAAGCTATTACCAGCAGGACAGTGGGGTGGGAGGAGGTATTGTTTCATATTCTCTGTGTATATATAAAGTCTGCTGTAGTTTCCACGGTATGCATCCGATGAAGTGAGCTGTAGCTCACGAAAGCTCATGCTCAAATAAATTGGTTAGTCTCTAAGGTGCCACAAGTACTCCTTTTCTTTTTGCGAATACAGACTAACACGGCTGTTACTCTGAAACCAGTTTCTTAAGAGTATTGTATTTCAAGTTACAGACTATATAATCTCACATACACACAGAGTGTAGCATTTAAGGCCCAACATATTTATTTAATGATTCACACAGCATTTATGTAATGCTACAAAGTCACAGCTTGATGAAAAGTATGAACGTAAGTTGTTATTTATTGTTTAAAAGTTAAGAGCATCCCAAGTTTGTTTTGAAACAGCTAAAAAATAATTACATACTGTAGTAGCAGGATATTGCAAAACAAGATGACTTTTTTCAAATCCTTTCTCTCACTTTGAATCAGCAAAGAAAAAAGTCAAACAGCAAACTGAATTCATAGGTATTCTACTACACTTAACTTGTAATTAATCACTCAATAGAACAAACGTCTTTGTAAGACAAATAAGGCACGGAAGCAATTAGTAAAGAAACACAAGGAAGGGTTTTCCCTCTGAAGACTTAAGTCATATTTGCATTAGGACTGGAACACAAAGAATGTTATAATGCTCAAACAACTATTGTACTATTCCCTAAGAAGTTTCTATGCTAATTTAAAAATGTACCATTTACTTATTTCACTGTATAAACTAACATACACTGAAACATTTATTTACAAACAACTCTATGTTTTACTTAGGAAAATAAAGCTTTAACATACACCAACCTTAAATGGCAGACAACGCAGCTATACATGCATTTAATTTAATCTCGTTAGGACAAAGTCATACTCACACACAGTGCTCCTGTGGAAACTAGAGATATTCTGATTCTGATAAGCTGTTATGCATGCAGTCACAAAAACACAAGAAAGAACAAGACAGAGAGAAAATAAAGAAGAAATCATTTATTATTTCAGAAAGAAAAACAAGAAATTCAACTCTGTTTGATCCTAATATCAAATCCAAGCAGCAATCGCTTTTTTAAGAAAGCACTAAGTTATGTTCTATTGTAACTTCCACTGACAGTTAAACAATTTAACTCACAGTAAGACTCTTGCAAAATAAAACTGAGTTTTAAGCTGCAAAACTACTACAAACTTTGACCATGATCCTTCAACTTGATCTACATGTACCCTGTACCAACATGGATCTAATTACAGGACCACGGTCTAAATTCCTATGACTAGTTCTCTCATATAAGAAATTACCGTGGAAACTTAGAAATTTGGTATTTTTAACAATACATCTTTTAATTCTGTGTAGTTATTTTCTTGAACAGAAAGATTTCTTAGTAGTTTTAGAAATGCCTAGTACAATTTGAAAAAAATTCTAACCCCAAAGCCAAAATTTTGTCAAGTCATCATTCCCATAAGGATTACTTCATTATTTGATCTGAGTAAATCATTCCTTTCGCAGGAATACAGGCTTCTTCTGAGGATTAATATGCTTCTACAAATGTGTCTTGGAAACGAAACAACAAAATGACTCAGTTACTATGTTTTCACTCCGTTTGTCTGGTATTCAGGAAGCTAGACTCTGATTAGCAATCATCTGAAAAAAAAACTCTTAAAATGATGAGTGGCCTTTTAAAAATTCATACAAGTGCATATATGTATAACGAAAATGCTGGGAAACAGCTTCTTTTCATAACATGAAAAAAAGCAGATAAGGTTGGAATACAATTTCTAACAAACTGACTGACTTTTTATGCAAACAACCTACCTCCTGTGAGGGGTGAATTTCAAAAAGCTCAGAGACTTAAAACAGTCTAAAAATGTGGATGATAGTTTTTGTTTTTCAGTCTCAAATTATTCAAGACAGGTTCCCATAAGATTTCTGATTTTCCCAGACCTGTACACAGAGGCTATGATGCTAGCAGACAAGACGTCTGGGTACCTTGAACTGAGACAATGATTTCCCTAAATGTGACAGATTAGCTTTTGGCTTTGTCCTAGTGGAGCAATGTCAATTAGTGTGCTGTGCCCTTTAAATATCCCCTCTCTGAAATCTGGTATATAAAGTATATACCTTTAAAGATGATGCAGTCAAAGGTCTTTAAGAGTTCTCTTTAGAACCATCTCCAAGATACAACTCAACAGAAAATATTAAAGAAATAGACTAAAGACAAAATAAAGGATAGTTCCGCAGATTCCCTCAAGATGGAAACAATTATAAATGGAAGAGTTATGAACAGTTAGAAGAATAATGTACTATATTGTAATAGTCCCTCAAGCCCCATATCCACTAGGAAATTGACTCATTGTTGACAAAGGTTGTCTTTAACTAACATGGTAGATTCCTTTAAATGGCAAAGATTGCAATCCAGGAGCACATAAGAGCTTCGTAGGAAAGTTGACTCAATTTTAAGTCTTCATGAGATCTACAAAACAAGTTGTGGCTGTGCTAGAGTCAATGTAGCTGGACTGAAAATCAGGAGGGGCTTCACAATTATTTGAAGAGCTTTTTCTCTGGTGCAATCAACACAACAAACCAGTCAAGTTTCTAGCCACATTCCCTTCATGTAGTCTAACGTTCTCTAAACTACAAAACAAATAATAAAGAACAAACCAAACTTAAATAACATGAACAGGGCAGCTTGTGTGCCTGCACAGAGTGCCCTCTCATGGCTTCAGTGGTAACTGGTTACCTCAAGGCAAACAAGAAACCTTGGGCTTTTTCCAGTTACCCTCAGCTGAGGAAGTCATTCCCAGAATGGTCCAGAAGTACTGTTTCAGGCTTTTAGTTATCTTGGCACAGAATTTCTGATGACAGTGCACCTTTTCACTCTCCAGTAACAAACAATGCAATACATAAATTAACCAAAATAAAATAAAAATAAAAATCAACTTTGTGCTATGACCAAGTTACAACCTGTCATCACCATATGAATTTGTTTGAGAAAATTATGAGTTTGGAAGGAGAGAGAATGGAAGCTTGAATTCAGCTTTCAGCTGCAGCATGTACTGCGTTACGTCCACCTCAAAGTATACTGCATTATAGATGGGGCTGGTAGCAATGCCTATTATTGATGTATCCTGAAACTTCTCATGTCAGACCATATTTTCAGTTGCTAACTAACCACTTGGGCTGAAATTTTCCATGCCAAGTGTCTGCCTCAGACTTTTTTTTTTAGTTCAGCCAAAACAGCTGAACTATTTCCGAGAACAAGACTAGAGGAAAATATAGTGTTTTGCAATGTTAAAAGAAATCTTTTTTCAGAAAAGCTCTAGGACACCCATACTTTGGAGCAAGCTCTTGAAATTTGACAGGAGGGTAGCCTTTATGTCAGGGATTTGCCTTTTGATGTTCCTGTAAAAATCTGCCCAAATTTGCCCATGTTATAAGACGCTAGAAAAAAAATCGTAGAATTTAGCAGCTAAAATCTGACAATTCCACCCTCACTGAACATGCACCAACACATCTCAGCTCATAATACTGAACAGACAACACATGTGCCATCTCAACAGAGCAGGTGGTCATGTGCCAACCTAGGAGGGACATGGAGCAAAGCAAACTTTTTCTGTAATTGCTCCTCCAGCTGCTATAGGGTAGGGCTGGGGATTGGAACTTATAGCAGGGAGCGGGTGCTCTCCCTCTACCCTCCCACACCCAACCTCAGGCAGTGTGGAAGAGGAAGGTGTCTGATTCAAATGCAGAGGGGACAAAAGCCAGTCCAGTGGGGAAGGGAGGGAAGAAAGGAGTAGATAGGAACGAGGAGCCTGGTGAGACTGCAATTAGAGGAGGAGGAAGGGAGAAACTATGACTGGTTGCAAAGTCAAGCACTCAAAAGACAAGAAATGCCAGAATTAAGGTTGTCCGTGCAACCTTAATTCAATTTCCCTTAGGAGTATGCATTATGATACAGTCTTTAATTACATGATGATCATATAACTATTTGACATCTGCCTCATTCAGTACACAGGATGCACCTGCTCTCCAGAAGCTGTTGTCTGATGTACTGCTATCTCATTTGTTGCAGAAATGGGAAGGCGTGTAGTGAATAAGGCTGGGGTTCAGGAAGAGATAGGATGGTCTCATGGATAAGACAGCTGAATGCTTGCCCTGGAGAACTGAATTCTAGCCCTTCTTCTGACACAAAGAGTTCCTACATGATATTAAGCAAATCGTATAAGCCAAACTTTTCACATGTGATTAGTGATTGTGTGCTCCTCATTTTCTGCGTGCCAAACTTGAGACCATAGGATCTGATTTGCAGAAGTGCTCAGCACATACAGATGCAACCAAAGTCAATGGGAGCAGTGCTTGAATATATAAAGTGTTATGTAATGCGAAGTATTCTGAAAAATCAGATCCTAGGAATTTCAAACTGGGCAACCAAAATCAGTGGACATTTTTTACCTTAATCTCTGTGCCTCAGCTTTCCACCTGTAAAATGGGGATAATATCACTCCCTCACTTCACAGTGATGTTGTGAAAATTAATTAATGTGTGAGAAGCACTCTGATACTATTGTGATAAGCACCACAGAAAAGCCCAGGAGGAAATTAAGAATACTGTATTCAGAACAAGGTTTCAATAGTTTGCAATAAATAAGGCCTAAGGCCACACACTGTTCAATAACAATAAAACAAAATATTGAATAGCTGCTCACTAATTGAGTACCATCTATCCCATGCAATAAATGAGGCTGGGGTCCAATAGAAAAAATAGTATCTGGCCATGTGATTAAAGACTGCATCATAATGCATATGCACAAGTGGGATGAATTAAATGTGCACAGGCATCCTTAATTCTTCCTCTTTTCATCTCAGAGCATATTTCCAGACTCGAGGAGCAGTATAGCATTGCCACTCTTTCTTGTCCATAACTTGTCCCTTCATTAAACTGAGTCTGGTCATGTCCCTGTGTACAATGTCTCACCATCCAGTCGGTCATTAGCCTCTAGGCTAGACTGAGTTTGGATGTGCAAGTGTTGACTGAGTTTGGATGTGCTTGTGTTATTTGTTTTGGCATCTTATCATCTGTTTGTCTGCTACAGTGTCCACACCATCCTAATTTTAATTGCAGCCAATCCCATACGCTGATTTCATATCCTGCTCTCTTAACTCCTTCTTTGTGTTAAAATCATTCCACTTTACACCTGCCATCTTTTGAACAACCCTCATCTTTACTGCCTCCAGTCATCTGATATGTCTGATTTAAGGCAATGCTTCCACACCACAGAGAAATACTGTTAGCACACTGGTTTGCTAAATTTTCATTTTGTACAAACAATGTTTTTATCAGTCCATAATTTCATCAATTTCAATCCAGCACTTGTGGCTAAGGCATATCTCCTGTTAACTTCATCCTTGATGGAACTGTCAGCACTGATCAAGTTTCCTATGTACACATAATATTCTACTTATTCTTCAACTTTACCACTGCTACGTTTCAACACTATCTATTGCCCCTTTTCCAAGATGCAATCACTTCATCTTCTTGGCATTTATTGTAAGTGCAAGTCGACTACACAAATTTTCTAAGGTAGTGAAGAATATTTGAATTAATTCAAATGTGTCTGCCAGCTGCACAATGTCACCTACATAATCTAAGGACCTTATCCCTGATCATCCAATGTCACGCCCTCCAATACAGTCAACATTCTTAATGTCTAGTTTAAGAACATGATGAAAAACAAAGGTGAATCCATGTACCATTAATCCTTATTTCTGGCACTTCCTAATTTTTGACTGCTTGACTTGGCAATCTTAATTTTTTTGTGCTTGATATGTATATAAAATAGACACACATTTTACATATACATATGTGGTACATATGCACATACAATATTTAGTGGTTTAGTGTGAGATAACTGTCAGCATTATGAACTGGTGG